ACTGGAAGACATTCAGTGAATATCTGAAAGTCCATTTTTAGATATTTGGGTAATATTTTATATAATTTGGTTTGTAAAACAGACCAGTTTCAAAGCTTTTTCCTTGCAATTAATCACTTCCACCAACCAACACTGCCTCAAGCACCACTAAGATTAATCTATCATTAATAGCATTTTACCCAATTATGCCAGATAAGCTTTTGTGTTTGCTGAAGCTCTTTGAAGACCAAAAGTGAACTGAATCCACACAATACAAACCTCTCTCTTTTTTGGAGGGCTTTCCTTTGGCTGTTACAAACTTCTTTTTCTGTGACTGGGGTTGAGAAGAAGAATGTTCTCTCCACCTTCTAAGTTGAAAATTGATGAATTTCCACATCATAAAGGCTTCAGTTGCACATATTGATGCCAGTACACCGATCCTACAAAAGAGAGGGTGGCCATAATAGAGAGAACCATGTAAACATGTCAAAATGCATGGCTAACAATTTTGTCAAGTTTCCCAAAAATAAAGTAAAATAGCCTGATTATGTGCATTTGTCAAAATATGGGCCTCACACATATGGAAAGCATTCCTTTCAAAAGACAAGTTACAAATTCTTTCCAACAGGCCACTCATTCTCAGACATACCGCTTTCTATGGCTGTTATGCTGCTATGTTCCCCTTATGATTCCATATTATTTATGAATAATAAAAAAATAAAAATATCACGATAGCCACAATGCAACTTCTCAAACAACCCAAGAGAGTTAAAGTTTTATTTCCTTTCTGTCAATTTAAAATTTCCCTTTCCCCTTCTGCTTTCCCATTTCTTCCTTTTCTTGTACCCTCTAAAAGTCTGCTGTGCACCCCAGTTTGAGAAACAGTGATCTATGTAAATTGGATTTTCCTCCCCTCTCCAGAAACACAAGCCAGTCTGGTGCCAATTTGTTTACTTCCTTATATATCTTAATGGTGACCAGAAATGAGAGCGAGTACAAATAAGGATACAGAGTTTAATATAGAGCAAAATGAGATACCTAAAAGTTGATATTGCCTGGAGTTTGCAATCTGGGAAGCAGCTACAGCTCTGTGGCATGCTCTCTCCCTTTCCCACGATGCAAAATCCTCAAGACTAGTATGGAGTTATGGTTTGGGGAAAATGAGTAGATTACACTGCAACAAACAGTCCTTCTCTTTACTGCTGTGACATTATTCCATACTGCAACTCAGACCCCAGAATAAGCTCCTTTCTGATGGCCAGGGATCCTGGTTTTCCATTTCCCATGGAAAAACAGAGAAAACCATGGATTTCCCCCTTTTATCAGAGAAAAATTCAGATTTCTCCTTTCAGCAGAGAATCCCACCAATTCCCTGCTCTTGCAAACAGCTCTGCAGGCTGGTTGAGCTCCAGCCTGCAAGAGCTGTTTGCAAGTAGGGCGGGAAACCCCCAGCCCTGCCCAGAGGGGTGGAGGAAGGGTGAAGCTGGAGGATCCATTAGCCACAGCTCCGCTCAGATCAGCTTCACTCTTTGCTCCTGGAGCCTGAGGTAAGTGGGGCTTGAAGGATGCTGGGGGCCCCTCTGGCAGGGCTGGGGGGAGGGGGGCAGGAGCCATCCCTGCCCCCACCGGAGCAGGCGGCAGCAGTGGGAGAGCCAGCTCCATGCTGCTTCTGCTGCAGCTGCCTGCTGTTGGGGGCAGGGAGCTGCAGACTTGGGCCCCTGGCCCCATAGCCCTGGCTGGGGGCCACCTCCAGCAGAGCTGGGGGGCTGCAAGGGGCTTTTAAAATTTTTAATAATGGATTTTGTGGTTTTTAAAATCAGAGAATTTGCGACTTTAAATCAGAGAAAGCCAGGATCCCTGACGATGGCAATTAAAACTGGAAGGTCAGGCAGACTGTACAGGAACTTTTAGGATACGACAACAGCATGGGCCTTCACCAAAATACATTATCATGGCAGTAAGGAAACACCCTCAGCAAGTGATGGGGATACTCTAGGCCTCTGCTGTAAAGTCCTTATGTTTATGGATATTTACAAATACCTAAATCTGCAGTTAAGATTTATTGATACCAAGATCTGAAAATGCTACAGCTCATTTTCCTAGGTAAAGAAAAAATGCATGCCTCTTTGCCCTGGCAAGCTGGGCAAACTGTGGCAAACTCCATGTTGCAACTTTATTTCTTGGATCTTACCACATTTCTTCTCTCAGCACAGCACAGCACAGGCTACAGCTCTGTTAAGTCATGATGCCAATAAATTGATTTTAAAATAGTTAAGAAACTAAGTTTTTTTTTTTTTTAATATGAAACTGTAATTTTAAGCCTACAACTGCTCTTCTCTGCCACGACAACCAACATTATGATTTGTTGTAGTACAGGGATTCTCCAGTTATTAACTTTTGCTGAAAGTTACATGCATGCCTTATTACGTTACTTTAGGAGCTACAAATCTGATGTTTGCAGAGTTCAAATTAATAACCCATATTTCTAGCTTGACTATAATATACTCCATAAAATGCAAGGTAGATATAAAAGCAATGTTTAAAATTTAATTTTACAGTACCTGAAACCTAGCACATTAAAGTTTCCAGTACTAAAATCCAGCACCTGATTCTCTGCTCTAGCCAGACCAAAGCCAACAGTGAGGACAGAGAGAATCAAGGTCAGAAGTCTCCCCAGAACGAAAAGAACAGCCCACACTGAAAACCTGGAGTGAAAAAAAATATCATGCATCACTAAGCTTATAAATTTATCATTTTGACTGGGTCCCAAACTAAGTCTTCCTGTTTATTCCCATTACTTTAGAATCCATTTACAGTTGAGAAGGATAATGAAACTTTTTAAAAGATCAATACTCACATAAGGTATTATATTACTTTCAATGCACACAGAATACTTTATATTTATTTACACATTTACTAGAGTAAAAAAAACTGTAGTCACTGTGGAAGTTTAAATATTATTGGAAGAAAATAAGTGGTGTTCAAAACACAAATTTAGGTTTAAACAGTAGCATTGTTTATTAAGGCAGGATTTTAAGGGTAAATGAATGGAAGGTTAAGCAAGTCCTAATTAAACCAATTTTTAATTGTTAAGCAGACACAAAGACTTCCTGTTAAACACACATGCACAAGGCTTGTGGGTCAATAAAGAAGTTATAAGGGTTTAAAATTGTAACTACTTACCCTTTCTGATATTTTTCATCGCTAAAATAGAAGAGGCGGGAGATGTGGAAGAGGAATTCAACAAAGTAATGTAACACCAAAAGAACAAGTCCAAGATGAGTCAAGCTAAAAAACAAAAGCAAACCAAATATTTAAAACATTTTACAATCTGTTTATGTTCACAGATAAACCCAATGGAAGCAAGCTAAAAAAAAAAAAGACTGACTTACTTCAAAATATAGGCTCCAGCAATATGAAAAAGATAAAGTCCAATATAGACTAGCTGGCGAGGGATGTCTTCCTATTAAGCAGAAAGAAAGTTAGATGTGCAATGTTATCACATTCACTATTTCAGATCCCCCTCTATGCTGTTCAGACACCTCGGCTGCTTGAGGAGGTTAACCCCCCCCCCCCAAATGGTGCGGTGCTTTACTTTAAACTCCACACCCTTCTGTGCTGAGCCCCGAGCATGCTCAGAGGAGGCATCACGTTAGTAGAACCCAGCTCTCCCAACATCTGTATACATTATGTGCTTTAGTGGGGCTTTTTTGGTGCTTTTATCTAATAGCTGACTGAAATCAGCTATTAGATAAAAGCGCTAAAAAGCCCCGCTGAAGTGCCTTATCTATGCACATACTACAGAGCTAGGTGAAAGCAAAGTGCTGCTTCTTCCAGCAAAGCCCCCTTTTAAAAAAAAAAAAAAGGTCTGCAAGCAGCCCTTAACACCCTTCCTTTCCTGGCAATCTGTTGTCTCAGTTACTTGATCTGATGCTTTGATTTCCATTCAGGTATTGTTCACTAGTTTTACCACACGTCAGCCTATCAGCTTAAATATACTTCTGCTTGAAAAAAAATAAGAAAGTGTCATTTAAACTCAGAAATGCTTTTTAAAGCAAAGGAAAAAATGTTTTCCTTAAGGCAATTTTGGTAACTCTTGCCTCATTCTACCCATAATATATTTTACTTACATGTCAAAGTAGTTAATACACCAAAATGATCTATTATAGCACAGGCTTATTTACCTCATTATAATTATAGACATTTATTTCTTGCTTTAAAGTAAAAGTTTTACTTTTTTCTACAGGTGCTAAAAACAAAAGCTGAACAGAGCTTCTATTAATAAACTCAAAAGATTTTGCGTGCTAATACAATGCAAAGAATAAAAATATTTTAGAAATTTAAGATTGTTCAGGAACTTCTAATTTAAAACTCTATGCTCCTACGTTACCCTGCATGCTGATGGCAAAGTGAAGTTTTAATTAGATTGCAATACAGGTTGTGTGCACTGGCACCTCAGGTTATGCTCTTAGGCAGCTGACACAGCATGGTAATTAAATAGGAAGGGAAGAACATAAACAGGCAGAAGGAACATAAATAACTCTAGTGCACCTAGAGTAAAGAGACAGCAGGAAGACAGGGGAAGAATGAATTTAAAGAATAAGTCTGTTGCACACAACAACAATAAAAACAGCCACCAATTAAGTACACATAGTAAAACATTCTAATCTTGAAATGCTACACAAGGAACATGGAGACACAAACGTCTTCAAGAAACCCCTTAAGTTTTAGATAGGATTCCTAAAGTTTAGGTTTTCTTTTCACATATTAACTAGTGGAAATTCTGAAAACAGCCATTCTTCAAAGGTATGTTAAAACAGAGATGCAATCTGATCTCAACACATATTAGAAGGTGCAAATCTATAAACACACATGCCATCCAAGACAAAATGTAGATAATGAGCCAAATGGGCAGATGGAAAAGACTGAGGAATCTGTCCATATTACAGCAGGTTCCCCTTTCACATGTTAAAACGCAGGCTCTTAGTACAGTATAGAAGTAACAGGCGAATTCCCCATCAACAATGACGGGGGGGTGGGGGGACGGTGACGAAGTGCTGCCACCTACCATCCCATGCCACTGCCGCCTCCCAGGAGCAGGCAAAAACTTGCCCTGTGATCCCGCTCTGCCAGCACCCCATGCCACTGCCCTCGCCCACCCCACTCTGCCCCCTGTCACAGTGGTGCTCCGCACTCCGATTGGTTGTTTCACTAACCAATCAGAGGGCTCCAAGAGTATTACAAACAGATGGACTAAGCCCTTTATTATACAAGAATTTTACAGATTATAATTTTTATTTTGCTAAACCACATCTAAGGAAATGGGACATTAGTTTTGCTCATTATTTAAGGTCTCTGAACACTAGCTGCCCTCTAATGTGAAAAGATGAGCATAGAGGGAACACCCTCCCTGCCAAGCCCTGCGAGGAAGGCTGAGAGGATCTGTCAACTTTTGAGAATCCAGATTGAAAGAAAGTGTGATTCAAATTACCTATGAAAAACTCCAAGAAGGAAATATGGAAGGGAATGGCTCAATTCCTTTTTCCCCTTGGGTGATAGGTTGCTCTAGCTGAAAATTTCCAGAACCAAAGGCTCTGGAAAATTTCAGCTAGACCAACCTATTGCTTAATCACCTAAACACCTGCCCTGCTTAATCACCTAAACATCCACTGGGGATTGTAGGTGGGTATATACACTGGTGCTCCATTGCATTCGAAAGCTAGTCTAAGTTTACCCCAACCATGCACCTGGTTCAATAAAATACCACACAAAGATCCTTTCCTTTTGCAGAAGAGTTGAAAGATTCCCTCATCAACCCCATATTGTGGATATCACCAGAATACACTTAAGAGTCTAGAACAAGAAAAAAAAAGCCAAAAGAATGGGCGAGGGAAAAATATCAGCATGAGTATTATCAGCCAAATATCAGCCACCCCATGTTAGGGTAAGTGGAGCTTCTCATAAGACAAAGACAGGTACTTTGGTAAACACTGTCAAGTAAAAAACTCATTAGATCAGTTGTGTGCTTAACCTCTGGCTTAGGGCCAAATTCAGTCTTTGGGTCCGTGTCATCTGGCCCATGAGTCTCCCCATGTATCCAAAAAATGCGGTGCCAGGAATATGGTGGTAGGACATGGCCCCACATGCCAAATTCATGCTGGATCCGGCCTGCAGACTAGTCTTACAGGGAAGAAAGGTTGAGCACCACTGAATTAGACCAACCACTGTTCTAGTAGTTTACAAAGGCCTCCTCAAAACTCTTCTGAGCAACATGCTCAGAACTCAAGCCATACCTCAATAAACTGTTACAACTAGCAGCTGATAGATCTTTCCTCAAAGCATTTTTTTTAGGCTGCAAGGGAGGATTGTGAGCTGTAGGCTCATCTCAAAGGAGAGGTATTTCGATATTCTTCCCTCAGTCTGTTGCAAGTGTCCCTGAAAGATGAGGGACCCAGACTTCCACGAAGATTATTCACGAGAAAGTTAAGCAAGAAATTCAGGGGATAACAGAAAGTTTTGAGTCTAGCATTTGTGCTGGCAGAAGGCAAGGGCAGTTTCTCTGGCATGCAGTCATCCCAAAAATACAACTGTTCTTACAGGCAGAACCTAAAGAAGTTACAGCTGAACTTCACTGTCTTACTGTTTCACCCCAGTTATACACGGCATGATTCACAGCAAGTTACCCCAGATGCAGAGTTTCTCTGGTTTGAGGAAAATGACTGACATTAAATGGGTGCCTTTTGCAGCTGCACAAGCTGCTTGGCCAGGCACAGCCATCTGAACTGCAAGCCAATCCTTGACGATCTTAAGAGTGCAAAAAATCCAAAACCTGGACACAATACACACAAATATAATTAAAAGGTTGGAAAACTGTTAGTGGGACAAACTTTTATATTAAAACTGACTAGTCTACATCAGTCAGTAGTAAAACTAAATGCTCAGTTTCACATAAGTATAAAAGAGAACATAAAAAGAAAATTAGCGTAAAAATATTCAAAATTCATGAAAGAATTAGACACCCATAAATTTGTCAGAAAGATGAAATGTATGTTCCTTGCTGAAAGGATAAGAACCTAATAATGGCAGCATTCTTAGTGGGTAATAAAAATGTTAGAGCTAATTTTCATGTGTTCATGCCCACACACAACATAGAAAGAAAATTGTTATAGATAATGCAGGTTAAGACTTAATTATTCAGTAAGTACATCTTCTTTACTTAATTCTCCACAGAGAAGTTTGTCTGTGATCAGATGATTAAATAAAATTAATTTTTAAATGGAGATGGGAGAGTAGGCCAAAACAGTAGATAGATTAAAGTTGGCAGGATCTGACATTTACGCTATACTACTTATAGGAATTAAGTAGTTTCTGTACTATTATTTTAAGGATTCATGGAGAACAGGTGTGGCCTGGTGGGCACAGCACTTATCTTGAAGGGAAAAGGAAAGGATATGGGAAACATAATCCCAGTCAGTCTAGTGTGGATCCCTAAAACAAAAAAGAAAAATTCTGATATGGATTAAGAATCAATTTTTACATACCTAGACATCAGAGTTGATAAACATGGGTTTGACAGTAACGGACTGACACACTCTAATTTCCTTCTGACAGGGTGGCTAGCTGGCTAAGTAAATACAAGAAGAGCAGTAAATTGACATAACCTAACTTTGGTAAGGCTGCTGCCACCATCACACATTATTTCATATTTTTTTTTTTATAGAAGCCAATAAAATATAGTCTAGATGTAATCAGCATCTAGTGAATCCCCTAAAACTGGTTTAAATTATTCTCAGAATATTTATAATGATTTACAGTCCATCCAGGAAGACATTTCAAGTGGGGCCCTGCAAAGATGCATCTTTTGCCTGGTTCTATTCAGTATTTTCATCAATACCATGCTTAATGGAATAAACACATGCAGATTAGATTAGGAACAATTGCAAGCAATATGGAGAACAGGATCCCATGAAGAACTGGAGAAATAAAATATTTTCTTGCATATCACACACCTCTGATAAGGTATGCACCTTGTTTTTGGAAGGCAGAAAAAAAAAAAAGAGAACTTTTTTTGAAAATACTAGTAAGAAAAGAAAGAAAGAGGGAAAGAAGAAAAGAGAAAAGAGGAGAAAATAGAAAAAAAGAAAAGAAAAGAGAAGAAAAGAGGAGACGGGGGAGAAAAAAGGAGAGAAGAAGGAAAAGGAGAGAAAAGAAAGCGGAAGAGAAGAGAGAAAAAGGGTAAAAGATAGGGACCTACCAAATTCATGGTGGAAGTGGGCTGCGTGGCAGCACATTTAATTTTGCAAGTTCCCCTGCATGCCCTCCCCTGGCACTGATTGGTGGAGGGGCCACACTTGCAGTCCTGATTGGCAGGGAGGCAAAAGCTGCAGTTTTAAACTTGGAGCCATTTTTGTTGCCCCACCACCTTTTGGCGGAGGGGTCCTGGGAGCCCTGCTGCTTGCTGTT